TTTGTTTGCTTACAATGTCATAAATATCATGGATCTCGGATCACTTAACCCAGCCATCCGTCTTTGGAGCCACTCAAACGACCGTGTTCATGTTAACAGGGCGACTGTACGCTCTGTCCGGAAGAAAATTATTTCACACAAAGAAGGGAGGTTATGACTCAGCCGCAATTATTGTTTTAAATGCAAATATTTTCCGCTGGTACATAAAATCCAACTGTGACTATCTAGAAAAGACATCTCTCTGATATGCTTTTATACGCACACTAAGGAAACGCAGAGGAAATTCATGCTTCTATCCTTAATGTCAAGCACCGTGCAGCCATATATTCATTTACTGAGCTTAAAAAGACAAGCACAATGATGATAAATCACATTCCGAATGCTCTAATGATGCTCCTGGAAAATTACCAGGCTTTTTTTTTTCCATTGCATCCTCTTGCACTTCAGCGTGAAAAATAGCATACATAAAATATGTGCATCCCCACCAGTCAGACGCTCTCTGGGCACTTCAGAGATGAAAATTAAATTTTAAACAATCCAGACCAGTGTTTGGTGACCACGGTTAATCATCAAGAAACAAAGACATCAAACAATATTTGATAATGAGAAAAATGCCTCCAGGATATTAGGAATGGGGGAGAGCAGAGCCCAGCGTGAGCGGCGGTGACACAGGCAGCAGCAGCCCAAACACAGAGCACCCCTCTCTCTGGCTCTCGCTGTAACACGCGCACGCGCGCATGCAGAGGGAGGAAGAACGGCATGTCCATTCTGTGGATTTCTGATTCTCTATTTTGAGTTAATGATGAGATAATTAGAACTCAGTGTGGGGACTTGACTGAGATATCCAGGCTTTGAGGGACGCTGCCTCTTTTTAACCACACACCGCATCACAACTGAACCCAATTATCGGATAAAATGGCTCTGTGATGACCTAAAGCACATGAGGGGAAAAAAGGAAGTAAAAAATTGTTTTTTATTAACAGGGTTGAGTCAGGCTCTGACTTTACTCAATCGTTCTATTTTCATGCATTTAGGGATGCACCGATATGGGAATAGTGGGTGTGATATTTTTTTAAGGACACATCTGCCGATACCTATGCTGATATGTAGCTCTACAGAAAATGTAGCATTTATTTGTATAGAGTTACAAATGCAGTAACATGAATAAAATGCAGATATTTTGGCACAGTAGCCCAGTATCTCTTGGTCATTCTACTTTTTCAGAGCACATAAATATCAGTCAAATCTGAACATCTGTCCAGTGCCGATATTGTCTAAAAAAATGTCTGCCAATACCAAAATGATGCGGATATCATTGTGCATCCCTAATTTAATTTCACATTATTAGATCAATTTACTGTACAAAAGAATGGAAGTAGTCTATACCTGTTCAATGAATTAAATCCTCTTTTGAAAACAAAACAAGAAATTAAATCCTCTGTTAAAAATTAGGCTATACAAAACCTTTCTGCATATTTCTCAATAAAAAATAGACAACACACCACTCTTCAAACTTTCTGATGTCAGAGTAATTAGTGCTGAGCAGAAATGAGTGCTTTTGGGGGCAGGAGAGAGAGGGTGCCCTTTCCTCTCCTTAGACTGCATATTACTTGGTTAGCCCTGATTGACGCACCGTTAACAGTTTGGAGAAATCAGAGAGAGCTCTGGCAACCCCGGCTGCTCCGCAGTACCACCACCTCACTCATGCAAATTGCAGCAGAGCTTCCCTTTGACAAAGATTAATGAGCTTGTGCTGCAGCCTTTGTTTCAGCGTTTGCCCGTTAGTATGAAATACAATCCAAAAACATTATCTATCCCCGATTAATCCAATAAATTTGTGCGTACCACACATGTTGTTTGAGGCAATTTACAACAAGGAGGGAGGACATTGTGAGCACAATTACATTTAATTACTTGCAATCTAATTACATTCATTAAACGCTAATAAAATAAATGAAAAAAAAGGCTGCTTTAAAATCGTCTGCAAAGCACACATCTTCTTCTTAATGGTGTAAAATATGGCTATGCGATTTCATGGGTTGGTAATGTGTTAGTGATACATTTTCCAATAATCTGATACTTTGCTAATACTCCAGGCATTTCCTGTATTGTAGCTTGACCAAGACAGACCCCTGAAAAGTTCAAAATTTGAGAAATTTGAGAAATTTCCCTGTGGAAAAACACTAAGACTTCAATGCTGTCATTTTTAAGAGAGGATTATATAATATGAAGCTAACCCAGCCAGCATGGCTACATTTTTTCAATCACGAAAAAACAAAAAACAAACAGAAAATAGAACAAAAATCCTTAGTCTTTTAATAAATATAAATAAAGACTACAACATAATTTCAATGTAATATAAACTATATATTAAAGCACCTCTTACTCTATCTAAATGTGTGTGTGTACACATGTATCATGTCTGTACACTGTATACCTGCATATACACACACACACATATATATATATAAAAGCATTAAATAGTACAAAAACAACCTTTTAAAAAAAACATATTTTATGTCCATTGCCCACAAAACCAGGCGGGAACAACCCACCTTCCGTATGAGAGCAAATGTAAATGCATCGCAGGCGTTAAGGTATAGTGCTGCCATTAGAAGCACAGTGCTTAGCACTACAATGGTGTGCCGAGAGCAGTGGAGCAGAGATCAGTGGAGCGTCTCCTGGATATCAGAGGGAAACATCCTTTGCAAATTCATCTCCCACTGTGCGCAGGCTTCACAGCTGGTTAACGGCACCGCGTGTACCACTGCCCTGTTTACACGCCGCCTCAGAAGCCCCCTCCTCTCTGTCTCCCTTTCTTTCTCTCTCTCTCTCTCTCTCTCTCTCTCCTCTCAGCGCCTGTGCTCGCTCGCCACAGCTTCTCCAGCCAGCTCACACCCAAACCCGCCACCTCTGATCCCTGCCTTTAGAGCTATTACACAGCTTTGATTTTATCTTTTTAAACCATCGCACTACACTGATCCTTTCATTCCTAATACAGACGCTGCTTCCCCAACCTCCAATTCTCTGATACCTGTGAGGGGAAACAGACTCCATCCTGCCTGACCTTAGCCTTTCATACCAATCACCCTAACACTGCCTTAAGACTCCAGAATTTTATCTGCCATGCACAGTCCAAGAGGAGACAGCTTAAACACAGTATCATGCATCACAGGTTCAGGGTTGCCTTCTTTCACAGTACTGCAGTAGACTGTCTCCAGCACTTTACTGTACTTCAAATTTAGTGACAAAGTGACTGAAATTATATAGTCTGAACTGTTAGGCTTTGTTCAAATTTGTTTTGCATTGTCTTTTCAACTCTCTTCAAAGTCCAGCTCAAATTGTTTCTCTTCTTCCTCTGTTTTCACTTCACTAGTAGAAACAGCAGTAATAGTAGGAGGGAAGGGAGAAGCTCAAACTAATTCATGTTGCTTTTTGCTAAATAATTAAAAAAAATTGAGGAAGTTTTTTTTTTGTATACTAGCAACCTGCACATCTGTGCTACAAAAGAAACATGAGCTTGTTTTCAGCACCTACAATCTATGAACAACTTAGGCAAAAACAGAGTGAGTGCACACATTACAACTTACCCCATAGGCAGTGTTAATTGTAACAGACGGAGGGGCTAGCAGTTACAATCGCTAAAAGGCCTGGTAAATTAATGCAAAACACAATTCATTCAGTACAGTTCTATATTGCTTGAACAAAAGAAGCTTTCCAACATAACAATATATTTCTCAAAACAAATGTGATAAGTGAAAAGACGCAGTGTCAAATGTGGCAAAAAAAGCACAAAATAGAAAAACAAATTATCATCACAATAACATTGAACTCAATTTTCTTTACACTACATCTATTATGATTTGGATAAATCTGTGCATGCAAAGTTTCAAAAAAGGAGGAAATAGTGTTCTCCTATTGTTTACTTTAGCTGTAACACTGCATTAAAACTAACTCCACCATGTGGAGGATGTTTACATGGTGTAGCCTGGTCAGCTCTGACTGTAAATTGTTTACATATTTCTAAATGGCACTATATCACAGACTAAGGTTAATTAACATAATATTGGTGTGGATTCTGTCACTTACACAAACAAGTCGGCAATCAAAAAACATGTATGATGAAAAAAGTTACCTTCATGGAAAAAAAAAGTCTTTGAGGTGAAACTCAAGAAATATCTATCCAATTGCTGTCAAATTTTGCAGATGACAGTGCTATGACCATGTGATTAATGTTCTGCTTGAACTTGTTTAACTACATAATGTCTGTTACATTTCACTCCACATTATTTTTGCCTTGCCCTCCCCTAGTAGTAATTTGTAACTGCTTAATAAGAATAACAATACTAATAATAACAATAATAACAATCATCTCTATAGTGAATGTATGCACAAAAGTGAAGCAAAATAGCCTACCTTGGACTTGTATTTCAGCTGTAATTCAAGCTCACATTTGTGGGTTTTCCAAGGTTTAGCTACTTGCCTCCTGACTGACTGACAAAACCAAAACTAAAACAAACAAACAAAAAAAAAACTAGAAAGGTTTTATTACACTTAAGACACCTATTACAGAATAATTCACTGTTTAAAAGCATTGGTTTAGAAAAAGGATTTAGAACAAAATAGTTCTTAAAACGCGAAAAAGTAATTCTATATGCTATCAGTACTGGGGTCTTTCTCTTTCATTAAACAAACATTATGAGTAAAGACAGAGTAAAGACAGTGACAGGGACAAAAGACATTGACTTTACATACATCTTACATTAAACTGCACCAGAAAAGCGAAGGTTTTCCGCAGATTTGAAGTTATCTTGCTAAAAAAGCAGACCGTCCATATTAAAGGATTTGAAAAGTGCTTCCCACGTTTTGCCAAAGCCTCGTTGCAAGTTCATATTCCTGGCCAATCAGCTTTGGCCATACTCAGTTCCTGCGAGTCTAGCCAATCAGAGATGGACTTTTTTGTGACGCCCGCCTTTCAACTTGTTCGCGGGAGTGATTCAGGAAGCTACTCCAGAGCCGTCCAGCAGCAGCGACGCCTTCATCTATAAAGGGCTTTTTGGAGCTAAACATAGCAGAGAACAGAGACATAAGGCTGATTTGATCTTCGAAGGTACATTGACGCTTAGACCGCTTAAATTTGCTGTCGTCTGTTGCCTGGTTTAGCGCAGTTTGTGTTGTTAGCCGAGCTGCTAGTCGTTGCAGTGTTGTGCTTTGCGGAACGACAGGCTGCACATCCACAAACTGTTTATAAGAACATTTCTGTCGTTTATATGGTTATAACACATATGTAAATACCTGATGACCACCAAAAAAGCATTTACTACGCGATGACAAAACTGTCCACTGCATCTTTCAGCTCAGCGTGCCTCTTTACCCCATAACACAGCTTCTCAACCCAGCCTGACAGTAAATGTCAATGCTAGGTAGCTAATGTGGAGTTTAAAGGGTCTTTGTGCTGTTCACATTACTGTGAATAAGTGTTTTGTACGCTTTACCTATGTATCAGATCCATGCATGCTTTGTTATTAACGTAGCACAACCCTACGTGAATATATAAAAATGACAATATTATTACTGAGGTATGTGGCTGTGTCAGTTTATTTACTGATATGTATGGAATCGTAAATACGTTTATTGTACCTCAATCCTCTTCCCTTCTCTCCTGAAGGTGGCCACATAGTAAGATGAAGCTTTGTAGAGCAGAATACAGAACAATAGCAAAATTCACTGAGCAGCTGCGGCCCACTCGACAGTGTATGAAGATGCTGAAGGACAGGTTCCCCAAGTAAGTGCATGGTTTCTCACACTGTGCCATCACATTTACATAGCGCCTTGAAAATTTACAATTCTGTGACAGCCTATACCATTTTCATGCACAATTTGACGTAACTAGACAAACACCGCCTTCCTGACGCTCCTAGGTTACACATATGAGTTTCCTGGCATTTGAAAATGCTGTCCCTTTTTTCTTTCATCTAAATATCTCATGATTCTGACACAATGTTTAAAGTGAGAGAGGAAATGATCTCTTCTTCCTACCAAAAGTGCAAAAAGTGTAAGCCCTTTTACCTTTTTTTGCTCTTATTAGTTTCGATGTCATAAAGCTGCCAGGCTTGTCACAATCATGAGATTTCACATTCACGATAATTGCGATTAGCAGTTTAATTGTATTTTTGTATGTAACAGAGACTGCTTGCTTTCTTGTTTGCTCCCAAATGATGACCGACACAGTTAAAGCTTAAATAAACAAATTACTCACCACTGCCTTCTAAAAGCTCATAAATACAAACATACTTTAAAATTTTTGTTGTTTTTGTAAGGCCCATCACATATCTCAATAAAACATGTTTTCTGATTTATTTTACTTACATGTTACTCAGCCAGACTGACAAAGTTCCCAAATCATTGTCCATGAAACACTTTGTGAGGTCAGTTCTGGTGATTTGGAGATAAATCTGTATCTTTATATTCAATCTAGGATATACAGTCAGGTCAAAGTAACATTAGAGAAGACCAGGCACACTGATCAGTTATGTGGTTAAGATAAAGGATGACAACGTTTGTGTGTCTCATATGCCATACTGTATATTTATGTATTTTTTTTGTCATCATTTCATGTTTTCTGTTGATCTTGCAAGCTTTGCGCTGTTAAGAGAGGTTATTGTAGTTCTCTGAATTTGCCCAGAGACAGTGCCTCGTTTCTGTAGCTGACTTGGAATGTTATTTGCTGCAGAAGGTTTTAGATAAAGACATACTTCTTATCCAGTGCCAATATTAATTTAAAGCTAGGAATAATGTGAATGTTCTTGTGGCCTTGGGCAGAAACTGGCTTTTCTGTAAAAGTCTGGGAGGCTTGTGGGAGCCTTTGTGCTACTATCCTGTTTGAGACATGTTTGTGTAACTCTGAGAAGAAAGCTGAAAAACCACCAAGGTCAGAAAGAAATATTATACCATTGGAGTGGACAATCGGGATGCTAGATAATTGCTTAATGTACATAGCGATGATTAAATTTGATTAAGGAAAAACTGTTCAGATCCATCTGTGGCACCTCAAATATCAATAATAACGTCATATGATTGTGCACAAATAGCAAGTCTGCCAGCTGAAGTGTTGGTTCTCTTGCTCATTGTTTGCTGCATCTATATACAGAAATATGATTACTAATTGAGAGTGTGTTCATATATCCCTTGCTCATCTGTCTGGATAATGTCAAATTTGGCAGTTTTTAGTTCAAATGCAGTACATTCCTGCATGTTTTCAGAAGTGTGTTTAAACACTAAAATCATCCCAAATGATGCTTCATTGCACTTTCCAGTAACAAAGAAGATCCACAAGGCCCTTGACTGCTCTGTGTAGCTCAGATGACTCTTTCTCACTGGGATCACTCAAAGCTTGCTCAAATCTATCACGTATTTTGTAGTTTCAGCCTCATCCGTTGATGTGCAGTAAGGTGACCGCAACTATTGTAATTTTGCCAGTTTCTTTTTTACTGGTTATCCAAATACCAATAAATATGCCCTTCGGTGTGCTTATTTATCTGTCCAAAGAGGGGCAAAGGTTTGCACACCATGTCATTATGAACTCATGTCACCATGAACTAAAAAATGTTTGTGAAGTTCATGGTATCACATCTTTGAAAGTTAGAAGTATTTTTGAGGTATTTAGTAGCTAGTAAATGCGATCCTTGTGTGTTTAAAAATGTATATGCATAGCAGATTTAGAGATCTGTTTTATTTGTAACACTTTTTTAACAATTGCCTGCCTTCATGTGACTCAAAAACAATGAGTGCGTTTACATGCACTCAATAATCCGATAACTACAGAAAATCAGCTCTTGAGTAATCAGATAATGGGAAACTCCGGTTCTACACAAGTCAGGCAATAATCAGATTTCTGCTTTGCAACCAGCCAATAGACTCACAGAAGAAGACGTGACGTAAACGCAACGTAAAACTCAAACTATGTACAGCGGCTACACATCACGCCGCTTTACCTCACAATATGAACACACATCATCTGGAAGATGAAGAATATTTAAATCCTTTATAAATATTTCGTGTTTGGTTTCAGCACCGCTCCAAAAGTGTTTTGCTGCCGTCATCCACTGACTGTCTCGCGCATATGCAGACTGAGAAATCCGATAGAAATCGGAGTAACATGCACTGAGAAATCTGATTACTGAGCTAAAATCCAGCTCTTTTTATCGGATGTCTCAATCGGTTTCCTAGATCGGAGTATGGTGTTTACATGACCATTTGAATAATCGGATTATTGAGTGCATGTATACGCACTTTGGGTATGGGATGTGCATGGATTCACAAGTACTCTGTTAACGATTTGAGGTGCCAGTGTTCGATTATGAAAATCACTTCTCGTTACATTTCATAATGGGATAATGGAGAAAATACGGACCAATAATCCAGTGAAACAGCAATTTTCTGTTGTAGCAGAACTGTTAAATGTGAGTTTGATTTTACGAGTAAGTAAGAGTATTATGTTACTATTTTCACCTAGACTAGACCAGCTACTGTAGCCAATGTTAGCTAGGTTCAGAAACAGTGAAAATGTATTTATCTGTCAAACTTATTGATGGCACATCATCCACTGAGGATAAAGACCTGCTGTAAGTAGACGATGATGAGTCTCCATTAGCATCCAGTTCTGTACCTTTTAGCACATTAGCTCAGCTGAAGAGGCAGCCTCTGTTACTCATCCAACAGGAAAACCTGTGCTTTTCATTTGGCTATTTTTGAATAATAAAACATTTTTTCAAAGGCATTCCTCTGCGTGCTGCTAATTGTTTGTGCAACAGCAGTGCTTTCTTCTAAAAAATATGCCCTTAGCCCTGCGTTAATGTTATCCAAAGTCCATTTATCTGTTTGTTTTTTTGTTTGTTTTTTTTTTGACTGGTTATCCATTCATTAACTCTTATGGATGTGGGTGTTGGCCATGTGAAATCTACTGGACTTTCTGACAATAGGTAAATGGCTTGTAAGACTGCATATTTTGATCTAGTCAGTTAACCTTGACTCTGGTTAACCTCTTTGGTGTGCTTGTATATCAATGTATTTCTCTGATTATAAAACAAAATTTATTTTCCCAGACATTACTAACCTAATTGAATGCTTGATATCTGGTCTTCTGACTTTATACTTTTTCCTGGACATATCCACCAGGACAAAACAAGACACATGGAAAACAAAATCCATTGTTAATGGGACAGTTTGGAAGCCAGCCAAGGATACCTCTCATAGAAACTTCTAGGGGTTGTCTATGTGTACATTTTACTTTGATCTGTTGAAATCTGTTTTATTTTAATTTTGAAATGGTAGGTATAGGAAAAGTAAAAGCCCGTTAAGACAGCAGTAGTGCTCTTGTGCCAGTAAGAGTCTACAGACGATACATTTGCTTACCATTATAAGTCACTCTGTAGAAGAGCGTCTACTAAATATGGGAATAAAAGTAAGCTTTTGCTGGTTGTGTTTGTGAATATATGATACGTCATTATTCTGTCAGCAGTTTAACATTTTTGGAGTAACTATAAATTTAAGTCAGTAAAAATTTCAAGATTAAGTTTTAGGGCTTGTATGCTTCAGCCGCCTCAGAAACAAGTAGGTAATTATAATTAATTGTAGGAAAGCCAAGACCAGACAAGTGCAAGTTTAATGCAAGATGTTATATTATAATAATGTAATATTATTCTAATGAATGCAATGAAGTCTAGTCAGTTATTTCTGCATTGAGGAATTGGGAAGACAATGATAGCTGATGTGACTTCAACCATGGCAAAATTCACCTGCTGTTAATGGGAGAATAGTGTGAGTTATTGCTGTGAATGACTTTGACAAGACTATATAAGACTAATGGAGAGGACGAGAACATTTGATCCCAGATCAAGAATATCAGTTTTTATTTCCCTTGGGTCAGCCCTTAGTGTTTCATGGATTCATAATTGGATGCAGAGTATCATCTGTAAAATATTTTACGTAGAGTTTCTAGTTTAAATCATTTATTTATTTGTTCTGGGGAATCTGCCTTGTTTTCAGTTTTATCACAGATGCCTCTTTTCTGTTATTTCTCAGTAAGACAAATGCTGGCTGTTTTAAACTCTGTTACAAGCTACCTCATTATAGTAACTAGTTTTGTTTTTGCATATTAATTAATACATTTGAAGGCACCATACTTCCAGTGATAAATGGTCGGTAAAGGTCTATGAGCGAACTATGAAGGACTTTTAGTAAATTATTAAACTATATCTTTTATTTTCAATAATCTGTTTCAGAGAATACATAGATAACACATTAAATAGGTGTGCTCATGGTCTCCCAATATAGAATATTTTGTAGATTTACCATGTTAAGATAGAATACCAGTATCATTTTATACCTATACCTTCTGTTATGTTTTACCATAATGACATTTTGTCCCATTGCTAAGCTCGTATTTTTGGATATACCAAAAATTGTCGTATTGGTCAATTCTTAATGTGTTTTTACATATCACTTCACTACATTGTGTTTATATTGTGGATGAATTGTATAAGCTAGGGTTAATGGCTTTGTTTGTGTGTCGCTTTGACAATGAGGGACTGCTCTTTATTGAATGTAACACGTGTAATCCCCCAAGGCCACTGAGGCAGCCCCTGTTCCTTTAGAGGTCACTTAGAGACTCGCATGAATTGGGAGCTTCCTAGTTTCATAGTGCTGTAATCACTGCTAGAATAAGGCACAGGGTCCCTAAGGGGTTCACAGCCTACCTTGAACATGCCTTTGTTATTGGCGTCA